TCAGCAGTAAGACATGTGAATAAAGATCTGTGACATGAATAAGTTTAAGGAAAAGTGCTGTGCCTTGATATGCATATGCAGACATCTCCATAAACCTTTTTAGTGCATAAAGAGCAGCATTGCCACTAGCACGTCCCACCTTCAGCCCTGAGGCAGTTTTCTTCTTTCTCAGTGTACAGAACATACAATCCGATTTTACACCGAGATGTTCCATTGCCCAGGGATAGGCAGGAGACAGATGCTTTTCTCTATCTCAACTGCCAGGAGGCCTTCTTTTTCTCTTATACTAGTCCTCCTCAGCACAGACCCTTCACGGGTGTCAGGCTGGGGACGGTCAGGTCTTTCCCTTCCCATGAGGCCATATTTCAGACTATCACATGGGGAGAAACCTTGGACAATATCTAGCTTTCCTAGGCAGAGGTCCCTGTGACCTTTGGCAGTGTACGTGTCCCTGGGTACTTGAGATTAAGAGAATGGTGATGACTTTTCACAAGCATACTGCCTTCAGGCACTTGTTTAACAAAGCACACCCTGTACAGCCCAAAATCCATTAAACCTTGAGTCACCACTCTACATGTCTCTTGCAAGGACAAGGTTGGGGGTAGGGTCACAGATTAACAGCATCTCAAATACAGAAAATAGAGTCTCTTATGTCTACTTCTTTCTATATAGACACAGTAAGTCTGATCTCTCTTTCTTTTCCCCACAGCATCCACTTCTGGTCTTGTGAATTGTGGAAGGCAGTTTTAGAGAAAGGAGTCACGAGTAACATGGACAACAGTTGGCTATGTCTTTCCAGTTCTCTGCTGATGTCGGAAAGACCCAGAAATAAAAAGGAGGAAAAGCCATCTTAGGGATCTAAGGAGACCCTATGTGAAAAGTTACTACCTTAGACATTTGAAGATAGCTTACTGTTTAGTGCGTACACCGTAAACAATGATCTCATTTTAAATGAGAACTTTCTCATAAATGGTTTACAAATGAGGTGAAACTGGCATAAAGCCATTTAAAGAGATTATCAGTCCAATATGAACCAGTTAAGTCTTTGGACTATCCCTTTCCTCCTTGACTACTGCTTTGAGGTACATAAATCATTCATCTTACATGTCAGAGGAAATTAGTTTTGGATAGTTCTGCTTTCTCCTGTGTCTCATGGGGGAGTGAGAGAGCAACAATAGAGAACACAATGAAAAAAATGGAATACTGGGTAAACACCAATAATATTTCCATTAGCCTTCTAAAGATGTTCATGCCATACTTCCTATGCATTGCATTGGGCTTTTGTAAACAGCAATATAAAATCTACTCTGACATTAGGAAATCAGACAGTCTCTGAAGTTGACCTGATATTGGACAAATTCTACTTCCAGCAGCACTTTGCCTGACATGTATATGTATACACCAGTTAACAGGCCACAGTCAAACTGATGAAAGAGCACCAGAGTTAGGACATCTGGGTTCTGGCTCTGGCCTTTATAATTCTGGTCACCTCCCTGGGCCTCAGTGCCTTTGTCATTAATAACACTGGTATTCTCTAAAGTCCCTTCTAGAACTCAAGAATTCTGCATTTCAAAATCCGTTGATCAAGGTCACCAGAGCTACTTCTGTGCCCACCATATTCCTCTAGACACTTCCTGCAAAGCAACTGAAGTGAAGAAGCACCTAAGAACAGACACATAAAGGGCAAGATGGGGTAATCTTGTCCATCTGAAGAAGTTCCCAGAAGAGGTCAGTTGCAAATGGAGCTCGGACCTGAGAAAACAAATGATTACATCAAACCCTATATTGGCAAAGGAGGAGAACATCTTAAATTGATATATCCACATACATATAAATTTTAATGTTAATCTCTTAATTTAGATTTTAATCTCAAGATCAAGGGTATTCCCAACTTGTACATAGTAACCTTGATAGCTGAAGAATATGAAGGGAGAGCTAAATTATGAGAGAACTTAAAACTACTCTGGCGATTTTTATCACATGAAATATTGATCAGGCAAATGTTTAGTTATTACCAGCTATTACTAAACGACCACATGCTTGATGAAGGTACTCTTCTATGTATGGGGCTATCAGGCATGGTTGCTTTTCTCAGTAAGCCTACATACAGTCCGGTAAAGGATGGAAGGAAGATGTGGTACATGAAAATCAACCTATGCTAGTGGTATGAGATGTGCTCTACAGGTGGAACTGCTTGAGCTGGATAAGATGGCCACAGAAGGCCTTGTGTAGAAGATTGGATACATGGCTTCATTTTGAAGTATCAGCAGACTGAGCAGAAGACTTTTTAGATAGAAAGTCAAGAAAATAATGACAGAACTGAGCCACAGCAACATCCTGGAAAGGACATTCTGAGGAGTGAGCAAGCATTCAGTGGCAATGAAAAAACAGGATAGGAAGTTGAGAGACTGCCTTGGAGGAAAATATGTATAGGCTGGCAGGTTGTAGGGAAAGGAACCTGAACTTGATGTCCAGTTTGAATCTTGGTTTTATTCCTCCTCTGTATGACCTTACAAGCAAATTACTTAACCTCTGGGAGCCTCTGGTTTCTCTCCCATAAAATGGAAATAGATCTTGCTCATAGAGATTTTTATAAGACTAAGATGAAATCGTGTTTTTGCAAAACAACCTATTGTATAAGTCTCAGGTATTATTTTTCATTTTTATTTCTATTTCCCCCTCCTGCACAGGACAATTCTTGCTTTCTTTTATTTTTAAAGATAATTTTGTAGACTAATTTCTTATACTGGTGTTACTCCAATCTTCACAAGTCAAAGCTGAACTGTTTAGGGAGGCTTGTAACTACCTTAGACCTGGTATCAGTCTCTTGGATTCTAATGTCCCATGTAAGTTTCTCTTGCATGAAAATACCTGGGGATTTGTGACTCACTAAAGCTAGTGCTGTGTTAGGCTCTATTAACAGAATGGACATTCCAGACCCCAGATAATAATTATCTCATTGTATGTAGAGTCATTAAGACCAAATCTAAAGTCTTGGGTTCCATTTTCCCCATTCATGTGAGGCTCTGGAAACCATGCCATGTGAGGAACAACTGACAGAACTCAAGGGTGTTTAGACAAGAGATCAGGTGGAATGTAGAAAGTTAAAAAGCTTTGAAGCTTTTCCTGTAGGCACAGGGGTCTCTTCTGAGTTTTTGAGTGGGAAAATGACATGACAGAGTAATTCTTTATGAAATTTGGCTCCATGATTGGTCAGTAGGATGAGTCTGTTAGTAAGAGGCAGAGAAACCAATGAAAACGTTACCATATTAATACAAAGTGGCCCCAACCCATGTCCATCAATCTGAGAGATATAGGGAAAAATGAATGATCAGAATAAGAAGTTACCACAGGAATATTCAAGACAAACTCATATTAGTGTTTAATAGGTAATTAAAGACATTGAATTGGCTGACAGGGGAATATTTCAAGATGGCAGAATGGAAACATTCAGAATGGAAGAGGTTGCATTAAGCAAATTACATATGGGGAGAAAGGAGAGGGATGCCAGCCATCTTATAACAGTATAGCTTAATCCAAAAGAGATTTTTGGGAAGGTGAGGTAGTAGGTAAAACAGCTTAAATTTACTACTAAGAGTAGGGGAACACTGCCTCATGATCCCCATGATCCATGTATCCCCAAAGAGATGATGGAGGCTACCTTCAGATCTTTTCAGCCCCTTGCTTCTGCCGATACGGTTATATAGGGCGTACACTTTCCCTTCTCAATGTCTCATTCCTTCTTCTCTCTCTGCATCTTGGGGCAAAACCTTGGAGACAAGAACAAACAATAAAAATGATTAGTGAGTTTCCCTTGAATTGTGCCCATATATTAATATTTACTTTAGCAAGGCTTCAGACTGACTTAGAACTGGAGCAGTGGTTCTTACATCAGGGGTGATTTACAACCTACCTCTTCATCTCTTTGTCAAGGGGACATTGGCAATGCTTGGGGATATTTTTGGTTGTCACAACGGGCAAGGAGTGCTACTGGCATGTAGTGATTAGAGGCTAAGGAAGCTGCTAAACATCCTACAGTGCACACTACAGCACTCCAAAACAAAGAATTACGTTGCCCAAAATGCCAATAATGTTGAGGATAAGAACCCCTGAATTAAAGGGGTAACACTGGATAGTTGGTATTAGAAACATCCTTGAGCCCACCAGACCTCTTTATCCTACCCTTGGGATAAGTTGTTAACAGCACATACTCTCTAAGGAATTCACTGAGCTTTGGGTTTTTTTGGTGCTAAATCCTGGGAAAATCAGCAGATGTTGATCTTCCAATTTTATTTGATCAGCGTACATGATTTCTACTCAAAGAAGAATTGGTACCCCTTCATAGTGATTATGGCCTTATTTCAGACCCTAGAACTAGCAGTTCCTCTTCATTTAATCATAGAGATTGAGGGCAGCATATGTCTAACACCCAAAGTGTAAATTCGTAGGGTAAAATATCTTAGAAATCTCTTCTTTCATCAGCCACTCCTGATCTTTCATCCAAAAACGTATTCTAAAGCACTGAGAAAACTGACATTTTTCCAGACACCTATGTGTGTGGCACTCTACTAGGCACTGGAATTACAAAGACAAGAAGTCTTAGCACTTTGGAAAGCCAAGGCGGGCGGATAACGAGGTCAGGAGGTCAAGACCATCCTGGCCAACACGGTGAAACCCCATCTCTACTAAAAATACAAAAAACAAAACAAAACAAAACAAAAAAAACTAGCCGGGTGTGGCAGCACGTTCCTGTAATCCCAGCTACTCAGGAGGCTGAGGAAGGAGAATTGCTTGAATCTGGGAGGTGGAGGCTGCAGTGAGCAGAGATTGGGCCACTACACTCCAGCCTGGGTGACAGAGTGAGACTCCATCTCAAAAAAAAAAAAAAAAAGGATCGAAAAACGCGTGTGTTTGTTTTTTGAGATGGAGTCTCACTCTGTCGCCCAGGCTGGAGTGCAATGGCGTGATCTTGGCTCACTGCAGTCTCCGCCTCCTGGGTTCTTGGGTTCAAGCGATTCTTCTGCTTCAGCCTCCTAAGTAGCTGGGGCTACAAGTGCACACCACCATTCCTGGCTAATTTTTGAATTTTTAGTAGAGACGGAGGTTTCACCATGTTGGCCAGGCTGGTCTCAAACTCCTGACCTTAAGTGATCCACCTACCTTGGCCTCCCAAAGTTCTGGGATTACAAGCGTGAGCCACCTTGCCCGGCCCAAGAACTGAGAATTGGTAGGATCACCTGTAGCCATGTAGTTTCTCGACTGTATCAGTGCATCTTGCCCTCCTCCAAGAAAATGATTCTTGGCCCCAAAATTTGTCAGTTTGCCTTTTCTCTAACTCCAAATCAAAATTAGAATATCAGCAGGATGGTGGCCATGGAAGTTGGAATTCACTAAGGAGTGTTTAACAACTCACCTGCCAAATTGACTAGCCCTTAAAAAAAATTAGAATATCATTTAGCATCAGAAACATTTTCAAATTGGTTAGCAAACCCCAGTCTCCAAAAATATATGAAGTTAGGGAAAAAATAGATGGACTAAACTAGAATGTGTCTTGAGGGCAGCAACTTCTTAGCTCTGTAATTCCAGTGCCTAGTAGAGTGCCACACGTGTAGGAGGTGTCGGAAAATGTCCAGTGAATGAACAGAACTTACTGAGACAAGTAAAGGAGATGCTAATGTTTCCATAGACTTTCTGTAAATATGAGAGAGAATAGGCTAAAATCTCAGGGAGCTGCTGAACCATGCTAATGAAGTTTGATCTTCCAGAATTGAGATCAGGATGATAGTATGATAGTACTTACAGTAGGTCAGGCAGCATATCACAAAAATTCCATTTACTGAGATTAGGGTAATGGCCCAGGATGGGAGCAGGTTATCAGGAAAATGCTCTTGCTTGGCTGTGGAGGGAAAAGAATAATGTCAGCTGTAATGTGTTTCCTACTGCCTGATATTCATTCTGTGCCTTTTCTATTGATGTAACTGTGGAGTATTCTTTGTCTGGTCACCTCTCCAGTATGCAGCTGCTAGCATTTTTCTTGCATAATTCTTCAATCAGGCACATACTTGTGGGCAACTAATATTCAGATGTCAGATACTAAAAGTGAAAAAGGCACTTTGAATGTCTGCATTTACTGAGTTAAGTTGATATAAGGAAGATTTTAAGGAAATCTTTTACAAGCCATCTTGTAATATCTCACTTTTATAGCTGATTATAACTATGTATTACTACTAACTGGTTGATGTTGTGTTCTATGTATACTTTATTTTTCCTTCTCTAGCTCTGTCATGCCTTCTCCCTTTCTCCTACCATATTGTCTGTCAACACATACACATCACACACATCCTTACCTCACAGTAGCTGCCCTAAAGCTGCAGGAGTCACTTTGCATTCACTTTCGGATACAGGTTTTTCACCCTCTAGCCTAGAGCTACTGGAAATACAGAACAAGTCCAGCAAAGAACTAAGTGTGGATATGGCTTGGTATTAGGTGGGACCATCCTAGAAGAGAGCTCTGAAGGTTATCAGCTGTAGTTTCAGTCCCACAGAGCACAAGAAGTACACAGGAAGGATGAGGGTGGGGAGGAGAAAGGTGTTGGTGGATATGGTGCTGCTGGTCCATGCCTCCAGATCAGGAGCAGCAGCTACACTGTTTATTCTTCAGCTGCTTTGAAGAATAGTTAGCAACATCTGGAAAAAGGGCAGGGACACAAATTATAGCAGCTCATCTGGTTTCTCTGAAATGGCTTACAAATAAATGAATATTTACTAACTTATTGTTTTTCCTTTTTTTTTTCCCATGCTGAAGTTTTATTTAAAACATAAAAGAAATGTTCCCCAAAAATGCTGGTGAATAAAGCAAAATGGTACGATACAGTGCTCTCTCCCTATGAGTTAGCCAGCCTATCCAAGTACAGGGTAATATACAGTACTCAATGCTGGTAGAATTTCACAGTAGTTTAGTGTTAAAGATTATCTGTGCCTAGATAACGAAGAGATTATCAGTGTGTGATGCTTAGTTCTGGGTTTACACCTTACTGGGCATGAACAAGAGCCCCTGCTCCTTGGCCATAGCCAAATCCCTTGGGCCCAGAGTTCTTTGCATAGCATCCTTTACAATAGATTTCACCTTCTTTTTCAGTAGAGTTGTTGACTGAAGACTCTTCCCACACTTTGCACATCAGAAACAGTTTTTGTGCCAGGGCTTTCCAGCTCCAATTATCTTCTCGGCAGCATATACCGAGTCCCCACATCTGGAACAGTTCTCAGCACCTCCATATTTCTGAGCAAATTTAGAAGTGTTTAGATTTGTTGTAGGCCTGTGAGGCTGAACACTCTGGCTTGATGCCCAGCCTCTTGCCATGTTAAGCGTGCCAGTGCCCTGGCCATAACCATAGCCTTTTGGCCCATATTTCTTTCCATAGCAGGATTTGCAGTAGATCTCTTCATTGTGAATTGCCACTGTTGTGCTCTCTAAATTTTTCCTGCAAACCATTGAGTCAGAGGCAGGAGCATGCACCAGATGTGGAGCTAGCAAGGCTGGGCTGGAGACAGGGTCCAGGGACCAGGGAGTCCAAGATCCCTGTTTTTACTTTTCTGATTACCAAACCTAGTGGTAAGTTTTATTTATTTATTTATTTATTTGAGATGGAGTTTCACTCTGTTCCCCAGGCCAGGCATGCAGTAACACGACCTCAGCTCACTGCAGTCTCTGCCTCCCAAGTTCAAGCAATTCTTCTGCCTCAGCCTCCCAAGTAGCTGGGATTACAGGGGCATGCCACCATACCCAGCTAATTTTTGTATTTTCAGTAGAGTCAGGGTTTCCCCATGTTGGCCAGGCTGGTTTCAAACTCCTGACCTCAGGTGATCCTTCCGTCTCTGCCTCCCAAAGTGCTGGGATTACAGGCGTGAGCCACTGCGCCTGGCCTAGTTTTATTATTTCTCTTATTGGACTTCTCATCAGCATTTGGCCAGTTGGAATCTTCTCCTTCTTGGACTTCTGTGACACCACATCCTTCTGTTTCTGTTTGTTGCACTCGGTTTTCTCTGAAGTCTTTTGCTTCGAAGACTTTTCTTCCTCTTCTTGTCCTCTAATTATTGTTGTTCCCATGGTTCTGTTTGTGGTCCCATTTTGCCCTTCCTGGCCCCAGTCTTCCTGGGTTATATCCTCCACACCCAAGATTTGAAATGCCATTTGAGGCCGGGTGCAGTGGCTCACACCTGTAATTCCGGCACTTTGGTAGGCCAAGGTGGGCAGATCACCTGAGGTCAGGAGTTCGAGACCAGCCTGGCCAACATAGTGAAACCCTGTCTCTACTAAAAATACAAAAACTTATCGGGGCATGGAGGTGCATGCCTACAATCCCAGGTACTCGGGAGGCTGAAGCAAGAGGATTGCTTGAGGCCAGGCGTGGTGGCTCATGCCTGTAATCCCAGCACTTTGGGAGGCCGAGGCAGGCGGATCATGAGGTCAGGAGATCGAGACCATCCTGGCTAACATGGTGAAACCCCATCTCTATTAAAAATACAAAAATTAGCCGGGCGTGATGGCGGGCACCTGTAGTCCCAGCTACTCGGGAGGCTGAGGCAGGAGAATGGTGTGAACCTGGGAAGTGGAGTTTACAGTGAGCTGAGATCATGCCACTGCACTCCAGCCTGGGCCACAGAGCAAAACTCCGTCTCAGAAAAAAAAAAAAAACAAAAAGAGAATTGCTTGAACCAAGGAGGCAGAGGTTGCAATGATTTGAGATCGCGCCACTGCACTCCAGTCTGGGTGACAGAGTAAGACTCTATCTCAGAAAAAAGACAAAGAAAAACACAAAAATGTCATCTGATTTTTAAATTTATATATTGGATGGATGCCAGAATCTCCACTTGATTAAAACTGAATTTACTACATGCTTTCCAGATCATATCTACCACCTGTATTCTCCCATTTCAGTGAATAACAATACCATTTAGTTACCCAAATAAGAGTGTGGTATTTTCTTTGTGCTCACTTCCCAGTAGGCTCTCATGTATTTTCTGTTCTATATTCAGAATATCTCTGGAACTTACTGCTTTTTCCCAAATCTCTTGCAGCAACTGCCTTAGCTGAGATTTTTCTCATCTCCCACTTAGTAGCCTGCAAACCGGTCTCTTTGCCTCAGGTTTCCTAGGCTCTAATAATTCCTGCACATTGCTGTCACAGTAATCATTCTAAAACACCTGTTTAATCATAGTGTGTCTACCACTTAAAGATAGGAGAGTTGGTTTTTCTTCTTTCTCTAAAACACCAGATTGCATGGAGACATCAAGTGATTACCAGAGTTGACCTCTACAGATTAGAATGACACAAAAAATAACAAGCCATTGCTGTTATCTTGGGCGTCTAGAAGTTTCACAGGCTTCAACTCATTCCTGGCTTCCACTCCACACCCATCCACAAGCCTCATTCAACCTAGAGAGAGTATGTGTGTGAGGGAAAGAGGGAGGCCTCGGTAGCAGCAAGCCAGGTCTGTCATGACACCTGTTAGAAACCTGGTAACACCCCAGAGGGGCAGACCCAGAATCCAAGGTGCACAGCTGTGTGAGGGCATCTGCACATGTAGCTTATTAGATACCATGAGTATGACTCTCCTAGATTTATCTCCTTCTAGTTTATCAAGGGAAAACAAATTTGGTGGGACTACACTAAAAAGAATCATATGCCCAATCTGCTTAATTAATACATTTGGGCTTTTTTTTTTTTTTTTTCCTCCAGATCAGTTATTTACTGATACGGTTTGGCTGTGTCCCCACCCAAATCTCATCTTGAATTATAACTCCCACAGTTTCCACATGTCATGGGAGGAACCTAGTGGGAAGTGACTGCATTATGGGGGCGAGTCTTTCCTGCTCTGTCCTTGTGATAATTAATGAGTCTCACGAGATCTGATAGTTTTAAAAACAGGAGTTTCCTTATAACAAGCTCTCTTTTTAGCTGCTGCCATCCATGTAAGACATGACTTGCTCCTCCTTGCCTGCTGCCATGATTGTGAGGCCTCCCCAGCCATGTGGAACTGTGAGTCTAATTAAACCTCTTTATTTTGTAAGTTGCCCAGTGTTGGGTATGTCTTTATCAGCAGCATGGAAACAGACTAATACATTTTCACATCAAAACTTTACTCACATTGACCTGTAACATTTCTATGAACTGTACATCTAATGTATATTTGTTAGTGCAGTCAGCCCTTGACCTCCCATAAATGCATTACTGGCTTTTGAATCTTATTCTAAAGAATCCCCACACAGTCCAATTAATGAGATTTGAGACATTTATACACCAAAGCTCTCCAACCACAAAATCTTTAAGTTAGCAAACTATAGCACATGGGCCAAACCTGTCCTGCCACCTGTTCTTAAAAATGAAATTTTGTGGCTGGGCGTGGTGGCTCATGCCTGTAATCACTTTGAGAGGCTGAGGCAGATGGATCACCTGAGGTCAGAAGTTCTAGACCAGCCAGGTCAGGAGTTCGAGACCAGCCTGGCCAACATGGTGAAACCCCATCTCCACTAAGAAAATACATAAATTAGCCAATTGTGGTGGCAGGCACCTGTAATCCCAGCTACTTGGGAGGCTGAGGCAGAAGAATTGTTTGAACCTAGGAGGCAGAGGTTGCAGTAAGCCGAGACCACACCATTGCACTCCAGCCTGGGCAATGAGAGCAAAATTCTGTCTCCAAAAAAAAAAAAAAAAAGCAAAGAAAGAAAGAACGAAATTTTGTTGGAACATTTATGTCTTGTCTGTGGCTGCTTTCATGCTACAACCAGCAGAATTGACTTGTTGCAACAGAGACTGTGACTGCAAAGCTTAAAATATTTACTATCTGGCTCTATTCAGAAAAAATTTGCCAACCCCTGTCCTAGAATGTCACATATATCCATATTCCAATATAAATAATGTCCAAATCAAAATGCAGTTCAAGCTAGTATTACTGATTTAATAATCAGGACTCTACTGTTTTCTACCTTCAATCAGAATAATATAAAATTCGTTAAATAATTCTATAACAAGAAGGTAAAAATAGAGACTTAATAAACTATCTTTATGATTGAAGCCTCATTTTAATAAAATTTTTACAACACATAAAAGATGACTGAGACTGATAAGTTTGGAGTATCAATAGTCATGTCAATGTTTGGTTTATAGTTGACCTAATTTTCCCACGAAATTTTATCTCATTGAGGAAAATAAAGAATCTGCTGTAGCTGGGCGCGGTGGCTCACACCTATAATCCCAGCACTTTGGGAGGCTGAGGTGGGTGGATCACCTAAGGTCAGGAGTTTGAGACCAGCCTGACCAACATAGTGAAGCCCCGTCTCTACTAAAAATACAAAAGTTAGCCATGCGTGGTGGCCGGCACCTATAGTCCCAGCTACACAGGAGGCTGAGGCAGGAGAATTGCTTGAATCTGGGAGGCAGAGGTCACAGTGAGCCGAGATCACGCCACTGCACTCCAGCCTGGGCAACAGAGCGGGACTCCATCCCCCCGAAAAAATAATCTGCTGTAACACTGAAAGATCTAGAGTAAATCATATACTAGCATGAATTACTAGACCATCTAAAATAAATTATCCACTTCACAACTATAAGTAAAGACATACTATATAATATATATTGTGCTATATACTTATGTGCAACTGTATATCAAACTCAGTGTATTGTTTCTTACTCTAGTCACAAAACCTATCCTTGGGAGTGAGGCTCGGGGTAGGGAGAGAGACTGTGGTCTTCTGTATGATCAACCATACAATTTAAACAAGTATTAATATTTTGAGCATCTGAGTTCACCTTGTAAGCCATCTTAAGCCATTATAGGCCTAAGATGCATATATTCATGTAAACCCAACGATTTCATTTTATATTTTCAAGTGATTTCACCTCTCGGGGAAAGAGAATTCTCTGAGTTTACTACCAGTAGGGTAAAATATTTGCTCCAAAATGACCTCTTTTCAGGCGTTGTCTTCAAGGATTTTGTCACTCACCTTTCCCAGACTTGGTTCAGAAGGAACCAATAGTTCTTAAAAAGCACATTCACCCACAAAAAAAAAAAAAAAAAAAATTGTTTGGCACCATGGAACCATGTGGGTGGCATGCCCTAAAAGAAAGTACCAAATCCCTAAGGGCAATTCCAAAGGGCACATTTTAATACTTTCAATAACAATATTTTTACAATAACTTTTTAAGATGATGGATAGTGGTTATTAGTATATATAAATTTTAGAATATTTATTACAAGAAAATAAGGCCAGACACAGTGGCTCATGCCTATAATCCCAGCACTTTGGGAGGCTGAGGTGGGTGGGTCATGAGGTCAGGAGTTCAAGACCAGCCTGGCCAACATGGTGAAACCCATCTCTACCAAAGACAGAAAAAATCAGCCGAGGGTGGTGGCTGGCGCCTGTAATCCCAGCTATTGGGGAGGCTGAGGCAGGAGAATTGCTTGAACCCGGAAGGCAGAGGTTGTGCCACTGCACTCCCGCCTGGGCAACAGGGTGAGGTGGTCTCAAAAAAATAAAATAAAAAGAAAATTAGTAACATTATCACACCTTGCACAGTGACTTTATTTTTTAAATTTATTTTTAAAATTATTTTATTTATTTCTTTTAGAGACAGGGTCTCGCTCTGTTGCCCAGGCTGGAGTTCAGTGGCATGATCATAGATCACTGCAACTTTGAACACCCGGGCTCAAGTAAGCCACCCACCTTACCCTCTCGAGTACCTGGGACTACACGTATGTGCCACCAAGCCTGACTAATTTTTTAAATGTTTCATAGAGTCGGTCTCATCATGCTTCCCAGGCTGGTCTTGAACTCCTGGGCTCAAGTGATCCTCCCACTTCAGCCTCCCAAACTGCTGGGATTACAGGCGTGAGCCACTGTGCTTAGCCCTCACAGTGACTTTAATAAGTCATAATAGGACATGGTCATTTGTGTATCTAAAAATACTATAAAATACTATCAAAGTAAATATGACAATTCTCAAATGTATCTGGCTGAGTTACAGTAATGTGCCACATAACAATGTTTTCAATGACCTACCGCATATATGATGGTAGTCCCATAAAATTATAATACTGTATTTTTACTGTACCTTTCCTGTGTTTACATATGCTTAGATACACAAATACTTATTGTATTACAAGTGCCTATGTATTCAGTATAGTAACATGCTGTACAGGTGTGTAGCCTCAAGCACTAGGCTGTACCATGTAGCCTAGGTGTGCAGTAGGCTACACCATCTAGGTTTATGTAAGTCCACTCTGATGTTCAGACAGTGGCAGAATTGCCTAATGATGCATTTCTCAAAATGTATCTACATCATTAAGTGACACACGACTATATTGTCTTTTTAGATTCGATATAGTAGAAACTCCCCAGAACAATGTCACTTACGTGTATTCCAGTTGAAGGTCTGATTCACTCTTAAATGTCCATACTTGATGAGACACACAAAACTGTGATTGGTTGTCATATTGAAATCCAGTTTGCTGCTAACAGTATAGAGCTCAGTTTCAGGATCTTGGGAAACTGTTGTGTCGATGGCATTTAATTCTTCTCCATTTTCCAACCAGGAGAGGTGAGGCTCTGGAAAACCTCCAGAGGTTGAGCAAATTATCCTTCTAATGTTAGAAGGTGGAATTTCAAAGTCAGTTATACTAGGTGTAGGGAAGTCAGCTAAAGAAAGAACAAGAATATATAATTACATATAGTTACAAACCTATGTGTGTAGAGGTTTATTTTTAAATAATTTTCTAGCTTTAATAAGAGTTGATTAAGGCCAGGCACAGTGGCTCACGCCTGTAATCCCAGCACTTTGGGAGGCCAAGGCAGGTGGATCACCTGAGGTCAGGAGTTTGAGACCAGCCTGGCCAATATGGCAAAACCCCATCTCTACTAAAAATACAAAAATTAACCAGCCATGGTGGCAGACACCTATAATCCCAGCTACTCAGGAGGCTGAGGCAGGAGAATTGCTTGAACCTGGAGGGTGAAAGTTGTAGTGAGCCGAGATCATACCACTTCACTCCAGCCTGCGCAAAAGAGCAAGACTTCATCTCAAAAACAACAAAACAAAACAAGAATGATAAAATGAGATATAACTTGCAACTTCCCATTAATCATTAATAGTTATGTATAATCCAAAGACTAACTTTGATTTGAATTGGTTATATCAATTCTTTACCACTTTTGATGGAGATAGGAGGGCACTTACTAGAGAAAGGAGAAGTAGGTTCATGTGAATAAATGTTGCCAGAGTACTTGCAATTGTAAGAGATAAAGAGAAGAATAATAGACAACATTTACTGAGCTCTTGTTTGTCAGGTCTGGACTTTATCTCATTTTGTCTTCACAGAATCCCTAGAGAGGTAAGTTGTAAATCTAAAAAGGTCAAAGATCAGTAATTTCATATGATTTAACCTAATATAATTTCCATTTTTTAAGTAATCAAACGGGTTTAGAGAAATTATAACCAACCAGTAGTGGCAGAATTCAAATCTGTCTGACACCAGAGCCTGTCTTTTCTTGACCTTGCCTTTCTTCCTTTCCTTTTCTTGTCTTCTCTTTGTTTCTTCCTGATGCCTGAGGTACACAGTGGCTTTCTTCTATGTTATCTATTTATTTACTAAACTATAGTGAACACCTGAAAACCCACCATTCAACTTGAGACCCAAAACACTGACAGTAACTGAGGTAAATCTGCTACTATGATGTCACCTATCCTGTCCCTCTCTTTCCCTTACCTAAGGTAATCGCTATCCTAAATTTATGGTTAGCATCTCTTTCCTTTTTAAAAGGTCGTCTTTTACATGAGGGGCCTACCCCTTTGCTCTTGAGAATGGTTTCTCATGTCTTCCTTTCTGGTCTTATCCTTTGAACATTGACTCTTAAGTCTGATACAGGTAAGGGCTCCATGAAGTTGTGTTCCCTCTTCTCTCTGACTACCTAAACTCAATACATAAATAGAGGAGGCTTCGCCTAACACAGAACTTTCGTTTGGAAAGGGTCTAGATGGGGAGAGAGAAAATATAAATCTGGTCAAGGAGAGGAGATCTTGGAGAAAGGAAAATGCTGCCTAATTTGCAAGCCTGTGACCTGGCTTTTGAGGGGGCATTGTGTGCGTGTGAGTGGGGGGCGTGCACTGAACTATAGTCATGAGCTTTTGCTTCTACTGAGTCTCACCAACACCCCGCAGCCCCCCAAAAAAACACCCAGGACCAATATTTTTAAATTTGCATATCTATTTCTGGAGGGGGTTTCTCCTCTCTTTATTCTGTCCTGAAACCATGGGCAAAGCTCTTTATTTTAGGTGAGAAGAAAAACTGTGAACCATATCAGTAATATTTTCATTTGAAAATGTCATTGAAATTTATTTGAATAAATTTATTTGAATTCATTTG